GTTGCAGGCGGATAAAAAAGAAAAGATAAGAACAGTGATTTAAACAACGCTTCGTGATCATACAAAAATTATGTAAAACCTCTGAAGATTGTACAGACTCAGGTTTGTGTATGAATTACCAAAGATTAACTGCCTGCATACCAAATAATCTGAGTGGGAAACGACCAGTGGGTCATCCCAGGGTAAAATGGAGGAGATCGTGAGAGGAGGAGATGGGAGATTGTGGGCAATTGTGAGCCCAACTAAAGAGGAGAAGTGCTGTTGAGCCCCATGTCCCATTCGACTTCCAAGGGAAGAATAATAATACTAAATAATTCATGGTAAAATTTTTCGCACCTATAAATAAACAAAATAACTCCAAAATCAAATGTCTTCAAGATTTCTTTGGTTTTATTTTCGTATTCAAATAGATAAATGACATATTTCATCATCTATCGTTTTTTTTATTTCCTTCACGATCCCAGTGGAACATAGGGACTCAACCTGGAGGCTTGAAGTTTCTGTAGCAGTGTTTATTTTTACAGGATGGGGTTGCTGGTCTCATGCCCAACCTTCCCTCTTTACCAATCTTATTACTGGGTAAGTGAGGTAAAGGAGTGAGTCGGTCGGGGATCGAACCCCGGACCATGCGTATGGACGGCGAGCATGCTAACCGCTGTGCCACTGACGCACTCACCTATCGTTTACAGCCGTTCTATTATAAATATCAATTCTGAGTTATCAATTATTAGTTCATAGCTTTCAACTGCAATAATACTACTGGCTAAACATACAAAGACCGTATAATAATTCTTGTCTAAAACTGTGTCAAAGAACTGTCTGTAAAAGTTGTATGTAAATGGGTTTCTAACTGCATACATATACAGCAAATTTACCTGAATTATCCTAAAATAGTTGTGAAGATATACTTAAAAGAGAGATTCTATATGTGTTTATTCTTGCGGTATGTTGTACTTGAATTCATTTTTTTTCTGACACTTTAACATAATTTGTTTTACGCCAGTCTATCACGAATGATTAATTTTCTAGGACGATTTTTGCAGACAACTTAGGAAACAATTATAGATCAAAAATAGTTGGACAAAGAAGAAAGACGAAATGTTAGATGATTATCATATTTGAATACTTACGAATGATAAAAAATTTACAATATTTGGATGACATTTCTAGTGGTACAAGAAGAGATGAAACTAGTATGTACAAGAATCCATTTCTTGAAGTAAACTAATTTTAAATTTGGAAATCAGCCTGACAGGCATTTCTTTGATTCTAAACAGTTAGTGACTTGATGAAAAAAATCATGTACAGGGAAAGAATATGGACAAAATACCCATGGAATTTCAGCAATTTTTGTCACAACACTGTTTTTAATCTAAATAATGGTTTGCGATAAAATAGCGTTGAACAAGAAAAATTTGAGATACCAGCACTTTTCAATGTGACTTGAAGAAAATGACGATAGTTCTAAGAACTGACCCTGTGATTGACTTATTAGGAGGACAGTTTAAGATCAAGAAGGTTAAACAAATAATCTCACGGACATCAGGGGCTTGTATGTACAGGATTATCGCTCAGCATGCATTCAGTGCATAAATTAGCTTTGAATAGGCACTGAAATGTCTAGAATTAAAGTTGCCATATCACAAAGATCGTGTGTAGTAGATTGGTGATGAGATATCGCAGCAATCAAGAAAAAAAACAACGTCATCTCGCAAGATATCTAAAAATGCATGTCAGCCTCAGCACGGATCCGAAAATAAACCTGTAAATTTCGGTTGTACAACTCTATTCCCTGAAACAGGGAAATGAGATCATAAGAATGCAGCATCCTCATAAGCATTATTCAAAATAAGACCCACATTTTAATACTGAATAGAAAGACGCTTCACTAAGTTTCATAACTGCTGAATGAATTTCTTATACCACTAAATACTGAGTCTCTATATTTCTTTCGATAGTTTATTTTGAAATGCTTGCAGGCATTTTAAAGGTAAACTGTATCACACTATTAACTCAGCTCGCTTACCCACACAGATAGAGCGATTCGCCCAATAAAATAAAAAAGTGAAGGTTATGAGTAGAAATGAATAAGTCTGTAGATTAGTCAGCTAAGGTAAATCAATCTGTTAGATCATATTTTGTTAAACTGGATTCACCTTTATAAACAAGAAATCTTTTCAAAAGTCTAATCTCATAGCCAGACAATAAAAAGACACTAGTTCTTTCCATTAAATAATCGTTTAAACTTCGATAAGATATGCGTAACCTCATCATGAAAGTAACAACAAAGATTAATTTACTTTAGTTTGGTTCGGTAGGGGCTATCATGTCTTCAGGGTTCGAAAAGATGAATTATTGAACTAAATTTATTTCGAATCCTCATAGTCCTCTAAAAGTATGACACTGTTTCTGTATTTTGACTAAGAAACTAATTCTATCTCCTTCACTGAAATTATTTGTTGGTCTTATATTGCTTTCGTAATATACGTTGGTGGCTTATTTAAACCATAGAACCACTTAAAAACCAGTCTAGCATAATGCATCAACGTGTCTACGTTTTTTTTTTTTACTGTTTTAGCCTCTCGGTTATGTCTTTATTACGCAAAATGAACCTTTTTTTATTCCTTAAGGTTCCTAGTGGAACATAGGGCTTCAAGCTAGGGCTTTCAAGTTTCTGTAGCAGTGGTGATTATTTTTACATAATAGGGTTGTTAGCCTCATATCCAACCTTCCCTTTTTTTACCTGTCTTACAACTGGCTTAGCGAGGTAAAGGAGTATGTCGGTCGGGGATCGAACCCAGAACCACCTGCGTAGTCGGCGAGCACTCTATCGCCGTACCACCAATACAAGTATTTAATTGACTTACAATCTATCGTTGTGTATTTCAGGAGGAAAATGAAAGAAAAATGTTGTAGAGGACAGAGTCTTGCTTCCGATGGAATGACACTGTGTCATTCTATGTACCCTTGATAAGTATTTTATCTGAAGATTCTATAACGGGGGGAGGGGGCGGGGTAAATATTTCACAAGAAATCATGTTGAGAATTCTGTACTGCGCTTAGACATAGTTTCCAGAATAAAGCTGTTATTATTGATGCTAAAACATAATCTGAAGAATAAGTTATTCGAAGCTTTCTTACTTATGAGAATCTATATACAAAGTCACTTTTAACTTTGAAACTGAACCTTGAAAACACAGATCATGGTACTATGGTAGGCGAAAATTATCACTAGATGTATACGATTGAATAAAGCTCACTAGCTTAACGTGGTTGGTACAATAGTGATCAAAGTAAATTATCCGAAGTTGTTTCAAAATCGGGTAATACACTTCGAAAGTTATCAGTAAATACAAAAAAGAGGGTGGATGATATTACATCATATGCTGGTTGCAGATTTTGATGATCTTTTAGAAACTAAAGGGAATTTTCTATATGTCCAAACCAAGTTCACTTTTAACAGTTTGAAAAAATTTGAGCATTGGGTATATGATATTCATTATAGTAAGAGTTTTTGTATTTCCCAATGAATGAAAAACAAAACGATATTGTTTTGAACTACCATTTCTAGACTGCCTAGTTAAGAGAAAGGAAAACGGACATTTAAGTATATCCAAATTCAGGAAGAAAACCCACTCCAATAAATATTTAGACTTCAAATCATCACACCCCATCAGCGCAAAGATTTCAGTTGTTTCAAGTCTTCTTAGAGGAGCACACTCTCTGATAACGGATGAGAAAGAAAAAGAAGAAGAAATATCAAACATCACTGAAACTCTCAAGCAAAACAACTACCCAAGGAACTTCATCAACAAAATCAACACAGACATTAAGTATAGCCAAAGACGCGTTCAGAAAACATGGACATCAACAGTCATCATTTCATATAGAGCAGAGACGTCAGACGATATCAGAAAAATACTCAATCAGGTCGACATTAGAATTTTCTTCAAAACATCAGACACTTCAAAGCAACCTTGTCCATATAAAAGACCAAATCCCGAAAGATTCTTTATCTATTTGTATCTATAAAATAAAATGCTTGGAATGTGATACGAACTACATCGGACAAACATCTCGCGAAATCAAAATCAGAGGAAATGAACGTCGTAGAGCATCTCTGCGACCACCGAGAAATCCAGCTGAACTACAAAAGCTTGAAAAGTCATCAGCCAAAGGTCTACATGCTATAGAATCAGGCCACAAAATTGATTTTGACAATATTGAAATAATCCAGAAATCGCAAAGAACGTCTAATATCAGAAGCACTTCATATCAAGTGGAATTCAAATTGCCTGAATAGGAATGATGGACTAAAACAGAATCTGACCTGGCTACAACACCTCCCTCCCCCATGAAGTGACGAAATCAACACGAATGTGATAAGCAAGTTCACTATGAAAACACGCACACTACTTTTATAATTTTACACATTGATCAAATCCAACAGTCTACACTTGATTTTGTTACCTTTACCAATTGATCAACTTGACAACAAAAAACGACCCCAGACAGACGAACGGTGATCACTTTAGTAAACTTTATTTTGAAATCATAACAGACGTACTATTACCTTTGTTATGTGGTTTAGTGATCTTCATTACTATTCTGACTTTCTATACGTCCCTTTAACTTGACCTAAGTCTGTTTTCTCACCCCTTAACTCTTTGTTATATATATATATATATATATATATATATATATATATATATATATATATATATGCTGAGATTTTGTAAATTCCGATTAATAATAATATTTTGATAAAGCTATTAGCATTAAATAGCGAAACGTCAGTAAAAACAGTATCGTTTTGTTAATCACTCATTGGGAAATACAAAAACCTTTATTATAATGGACTAAAGTGAATGAACTGATTCAGTTGAAATGTCAAACATGAAAAAGCAAAATTTCCAAAGATTTAACTAAAAAGATACCTAATTGTGTATTTATGTACTTATAAAATAATAATGATATGCGTTAATTATTAAATGACTTACTCATTTTCTGTTACCCGACTTGGTGCACCATAATTAATACTTGATGCAGATGTATGTGGAATCTTCCAAGACACAATTTTCCTTAGCACAGTCCTAGTTGCATGTATCTGAAAGCCTTCTAGCATCCATCGTCTAACAGTTGGTCCACGCCAATCCCTCCACGGCCAAAAAGCATCAAGTGAAATAGAACCGTATATGCTGGGAGCAATCGGAATATGGTAATTTTGTTCTACTGAAGATGGTAAAGCCAATACTAGCTGATCAACCCAACCAAATCGCATTCCTAATCCACCAGCAGCTTTATTAAGTATATTTAATTTCAGATCACGTAAAAATCCATCATTAGGAAAGGCGCCAATATTCTCTATTTCTTCAGGTGCTTGCCTCATCGAAATTGAACAAGTGGGACTAGATGATGTGATAACATCTGGTCGACTATCCCCTAATCCAATGCTTGTAGACGGCCGACAAAAGACTGAACGTGTAAGATCAACAATTTTTCCAATAGGAGGTGTACTAAACGGGAAACTGTAGAACTTATCACCATCCAGAGGTGTTTCCTTAGGCCAAGGTATTAATCCAAGAATTCGTAGTTTACGCGGTTCAGGTGTTGATACAGCTGGGAACCATGGCGGTTCTATGATATCACGTGGCTAAAAAGGAGAAAAAAAGAATAATAAATAAGCTCTTTCGCAAGAAAAGTGTTCTCTCAATTAATAAAATGCTAATCATGTACTACATTTTATTTTCAGAATTCCGAAATTCATATTTAAAATCAGATCGGATAACATTACAGGTAGTTAACATGCAGTATAAGACTGAAAATATTTACTTTCAAGTTTTCATTTCGGTTAACAAAGCAAATTCACTTTAAAGAAGATAAAACAGAAAAGCCGATAACTGAGGGAGGAGAATGCTTCACCAGATTTGTCAACTTGTCGCCAAATTTCAGGAATTCATTGTTTAATAAATAAAAAATAAATCTACGAAAGCTCTTAAATTGCACAAATCGTGATGAAATTTCATCTTGGTTTCCTTATAAAAGCAAAATTATTTAGACAAATATCTGCAGTCTATTGGCCTTCGTTCGTATGGAAGCCGCGTAATTTTAGCTACTAAGATTATTTGAATAACGGGCAGTCGTTACAATGAACCGGAATGATTTCATCAACAGTGTTCCGGAACAGTTGAAACCATAAATTAAATCAGGAACGTGTTAGCCATCTGGTCATCGGTCAAGGAATGGAGAAAACTTTTATGTCACACTTAACTGAACATTCTTCTATACTGTAATTTTAGGTTTTGGTAGAATATCATGAACAAGACAAAAATACGCGACATGCATAGTCAACACATATACCTTGATATTATCAAAGGGAGTAGTTTATTCTGAGTCAACAAAATACCTTTGGTCCCAGAAGCAATCGTTCGCTCTAATTATTTTTATTAGGAGTATATTATGAGGATATTTAAATATTTAGCTGATTTCAACAAAGTTATTCCGAGTTGACCGAGTAAAGAGTATTGTGACTAGTAGTTTTATTTCAGTAGTGTGAAAATACACATAGTTTCAATGGTGTCTATGACACAACCGCTTGTGAAACCTCATCATTCTGTCCGTGTTTTTTAAAACACCAGCTTTCATTCTGAGCTGTTCTACTAACTTTTTTAAAGGAAATCAACAATGAAGAAGTTCAAGTAGGGATTTGGTTGACTGGTTACAGGATTTCATCATGAGCTGACATTGGTTAGAGGACCATTGGGAAACCTGAGAGTACTGGACAGCTGTTTCGTCCTAGTTTGGAACTCTTCATCAGTGCGCACCAACCGGGGTTCGAACCCAGGACCTTCCGGTTACAAGGCGAGCTCGTAGACCGTTGAGCCGCTGGGACCTGATCCAACGGCCCATGAATTCTGACTTTTGCCAATTCACGATATAACGCAACCGCTAGCCAATGTCTTCGGCGAGTATTTTACTCCGATGAAGAGTCCTAAACTAGGACGAAACAGCTGTCCAATACTCCCAGGTTTTCCAATGGTTCTCTAACCAATGTCAGCTCATGATGAAATCCTGTAACCAATGAAGAAGTTGTTTAGTGAATTTATTACAACCACACACTGAGCCGATGTAGACATAACGATTTCAAAACGACACCATTAAACACTCACTAAGACACTGAAATATATTGCTGTAATGTTTTGAGACAAGAGAATTCACTTACTATAACAATTTTGTTTAAAATACACAAATCAGTGCAGAAACAATCGTTTTATTAGTGAAAAATCAGTTTTTCACTGTTTTTAACCTAGAAAACTAATTAAGAAGGTGGCTATGGGTGGGTGCTGTTCTCTGTCAATTCACCTTTTGGCCTTTCCATCACCTGACATCATCAGCAAGTACCTGCACTGACATCCAATCCCTCTGTTCTAAACGGCCACACATATTTGTAGGAACCTTTGAAATGTCATATTTACAATATCCGCTTACTCAGCTAGTATCGTCATTTGGTTTGCTTGATTTCAAAACGCTGATTGATGTAATGACAACGTACTTATTGGAAAATTTATAGTTTTAGTGGTCGTCTGTTATTGGGTCATTTGCTTACATTTCTGAAAAGTCCTATTCAATGAAATAAATGTCTATCCAGCTCTTTCTTTTGAAGTGCAGTTTCCTTGTAACATGATGCTTTATATTTGATGCATATTGTAAAGAATTAGTTAGACACAAGTGAATTTGATTCCGGTTCACATTTTTTAACATCTATAAACTTTGCATCAGATTGTAATGTCGTCATTAGTGAGATATAATAAATGTTAGATAAAATGACCGACAGCCGGTACTTTACATTCATAATATGAAATTTCATATCTATATGTATATCGGTAAAGAAATAAATAGTGTAACATGACACGTTTTCCTGTGTAATTACCATCGTGGAAGGTCGACTGACGTTGGTCCTAGATTATCAGGATAACCAGTAGACTTTCAAACTTATTGTATTTACTAAAGATAGAGGAAAGCCTACGGGAAATCACTTTTACTCTAAGTGCTATACATCTGCTAAGAGCAGTAAAGGAAATATAATATTGAATTTTTATCGATGTAAAGAATACAGTAGTTTGAAGATTGACTTATTCTTAGATTGAAATTAATTAAAAACAAAAATACTTGGTGCAATCCGCTACAATAATCTCAAGCAAAGTGTGTGTTGTGAAAAAGTAAAACTGGAGGAAATTTTTTTTTAACTGTTTCTACGACGCTAGCGGTAGGTAGAGTTTGTTTTAAGAATATTCAACTTGTATCATAATCGACTTCTTCACTACCAACATACTTACTCTGGATAATAAAGTCTCCGCTAATGGAACTAAATAATGCAGGTTGAAATCATGGTGGGATATGAGTCTGTGAGTATGCGATTCCAAGGGCGACGAACACAAAAGGTATGGTAAACAAAGCTTCCTATGTATCGGATTCTACAATCTAAAATACCGACAATCGTCTGATAGTAAAAGAAATTAGAGGAATTCATGCATTTCTGTCAGAAGCGAAATACACTGTGATGCAGAGCACTGTTGTATCACTTAGCTTATTATATCCCTAAATATGGAGAAAAGCTTGTGAAAGCTCTAGACGGTATTATTATTATAACCTTTAATTCCTAGAGTAACATAGGGCTTCAGCCGCGCGTCTCCATTGCGTTCGGTTTTCTGCCAACTTTTTCACCCCGCTCCAAGTCTGCCCACACGCTTTTATCTCCTCTTTACATCACCTCCTACAAGTCACCCTACCCTCGCACTGACGACCAACTCGCCGCTTCCCTTTCACCTTCCACTCGAGCAATAGCTTGTCTAGTGATGTCACTTGATGGTTTCCTCAGAGTATGACCAATCCGTCTCCATTTCTTTCTGCCTATTTCTTTCATAATCGGTTCCTGCACTGTTGGTTCGCTCATTCCCAGAGATCAATCCCTGTTGCTGATCTTTTCTGGCCGGCCATCTGATCTTGAGTATTGAGCGAAGAGAGCTGTTGATGAAGGTCTGAAGTTTGTTTGAGATGCTCTTTATGACGCGCTGTCCAAGTCTCTGATCCGTATAGTAGCCTTGACCGACTTCACATTGGAGTTGAAAATCCGGATGTTATTTTTGATGGTGAGTGATGTTGACCTCCACACAGACTTAAGGGTAGTGAAAGCCTGTCTTGCTTTCCCGATGATCCTTGCTTTGATACCCTCGTCAGTTTTGCTTGTAGTTGAAACGATGCTTCCGAGGTAGGTAGGTAAAGGAAGTTGTTTCTTTCGGGTTCCTCCCATTTATGCTGTCTGATTGTTGTCTGTTGTTGTTGTTGCTGTTGGTGTTGGCCAGGAATCTTCATCACCTTTGTTTTCTCTATGTTCACCTGAAGTCTTATCTTCTCTGGATGCTTCTTCTATCGCCAACTTGTTGCTTTTCACTTGCATATCTTACGGTTTGTGGGAAATCAGACATATATCATCGGCGAAGTCCAGATCCTCCAAGATTTTTGTGTGAGTTCATTTCATGCCTGTTTCCTCATTGCTCGTTGTCTGTCGCATTATCCAGTCTACTGCAATCAGGAAGATCACTGGCTATAGTAGACAGCCTTGCCTGACTCCTGTCCTCACTTCGAAGGCTTCCGTAAGTTTCGCGTTGTGGATTACTTGGCATGCAGATGGTATAGACCTTACAATTTAAAATGTTTATTCAACAAGATTGTGTGAGAATATGTCAAACAACGGGATGATATTGCATTTCAACGTTTGTAATTCTGCCTGTCTGTCTGTCTGTCTGTTTTCGGCATAGAACTTTGCACATATGTGCACCAGTTCAAGTCGCCACACTCCCTCCTTGTAGCACACAAAGCAAGAGAAGAAAGTAGAAGAAATGCATAATAGAGACAGTAAGCAGAGGTGTGAGACAAAGGAAGAGTAATAACGAGGAACAAAACAGTTTCATTGGAAATCATAAGTCACAAGGAGTGGATGCATCTGCGCCACTGAGAACGAGTTTAAGCCATGTCATCAATTGTTTGTAATTGGGAAAATAAAATTATTGAAATTCGATAGAATTAGACAGCTGTATGATTCACCGAAATCCCACTGACTTCTGAATCCACATAGTTTTATTCTAAGGTCTGCAGTCATGGAAATAATTATTCTTCTATTATTTCAAAGAAAATTGAACACATTTTCAATTGATATAACAATAAAGTCTTTATCAAAAACAAATTTTACTCATAATCGAACATATTCTCAATGCTATAGTCTTGAGAATTCATCGTTAAATGAGTACACTGAAAGTGACTAAAGCATTGATCACTCTACATAAATTATGTCAATTACTTATTCATTGAAACGTTAAGTCTAGTTTATCTTTCGCAGCATTAATAATTCAAATTATAAATGTCTTTCATTTAATCATCAAAAGTAGGCTTGTGAACAGTATGATTAACAGTCATTGAAAACCGACTTTATCTTGCTGTATGATTAAATTGGGAGAACAACCGCTGGTATGGAATAGACAGTATCTTGATGGAAAATAAATACTTTTCCTTTTAAATATATATTTAGTCAAAGCTTTTATTCTTCATTAAAAAGAACAGTTTCACACTAAAGCAAAGCATCATAGTTTTGTAGAT